AGAAACGAATTAGGTTTTAAAATAGATATGAAAGAGCGGACCATACCAAACAGTTGTGTGCAATTTTTCACAGATTACTGACTTATTTACGGTCAACATTAACCTTCGAAGCCTGTTTTTGGAGCACGCAAGTTATGTATATTTTATTAACCATCAACGAATCTCTCAAATCACAATGTCCTCTATGGTTCCTAGGAAATTTTAAGGAAAATAAATTTCTATCTGTGCTCTGACAGCCTGCTCTCAACCCTATTGAGTACGAGACTCTCCGATTCAATTCAGTGATTTGTAGAAAGCTGCACAAATGTAAGGTGCAGTATTTGTTGAACCTTGCCCAAAACCCCACATTATACAACAGACACGCATTCCTAATTAATTGAAACTAACGTCGTCTAGAGCACCCAGCTGTGGTTGAAAGTATTCAGCCATGAGCGCCGTGCACAAGCGACTACAGCTTTTTTCGTGTCTTTATCGAATCATACTAGAATGTTCGAAGGTCAAACAAATATTTTCCTCCACACCCATCACTAATAGGCATCTCCGTATTGTATGAATACAAGGGAAAGCTAACCCGTAAAGAACTGAGTGATTTCCTTAGTCCTTTGCTGTCCGCTATTTTTGCAGCATTAAGACAGGGTTGACATTTGGTTGCGTTAATAGTCATCACCCCTATAAATGTTAATGTCGTGGTCAGGCGAGGTGTTTATATTGCTTGCGGACATTCTTTCCCGTCATGTGAGGCTGCTTAAATGCAGCCTCTGATTAAGTTAATCTAATGCAACGTAGTCATTTTCCGCTGGTCATTGTGTAGGAAATGGAACAGATCTTCGTCAGACAAGGAAGGTCTCCATAAATACTGCTGTAGGAGACTGGCGAATTACGTCTTTACGGTGAGTCACAGTATGATTTAGCTGTTGCGTCCGAAAGAACGATACTCGATGGTCAAAAATATGGCCTAATTATCCAAACTGATCAATAGCTCCGCACATTCTTGATGTCCGTTTATGCTCGTGTAAAGGGGTCTGCAACTCTGGTTCGGTTTTCCCAACGGCATTATATACCGCTTCATTGCAAAGTAGGCAACTGGCTCTTTTTTGCTAAGCGATGACTGTCTTCTGCGCACTTTTATTAATTGCCCTGTCAACGGTGACTTCCGCAAACCGCAAAGAGCCTCGTGCTAAGAAAATAAATACCACACGCCATTACCTAGTGCAGTCTAACCGAAACACGAGTGAA